CAGGTGTGGATCTATGTCGTGGGTCCGCTCTTGGGCGCGGTCATCGCTGTGCTGCTGACGGGCACCCTGGGCTGCCACGTCCACCCCTACGCCTGGCACAAAGCCACCGGTACGCCCGCCCCGGCCTAGCTCGTACGCAAATGAGAGCTGCGAGCCTGAGCCGCCATCAACTCCACCGCCTTGGGCCGGCGCTGATCGTGCGTGGGCCTTGGGGGGGGGACATACGTACGTACCACGCAGGAGTTGGGCGGTCGGGTCCCGAGGACTTGGCCAACGGGCAGACAGACGACGCCGAGCGGTGAGCTTCACTTCACAAACAGAAGAGATCAACGGGGGAAGCATGCTGGTGCATGGTGATAATGATGATGAAGACGATGATGATGATGATGATGAGGAGGAGACTCTTGTATGTTGAGCGAGGCCTGATGGTGGGGGGTGAGGGCGAACATAAGGCGTGTAAGGGGGTTTATTACGAAGAGAGCGAGCAGCAAGTAAATAGAAAAGGGTGGATTGGATTGGATTGGATGTACACGAAAAGCGGTCAGCTGGGTTTGCTCTCTTCTCAGTTGGAGATGGTGACCTTCAGCAGGCTCCTCTCCCGCTGCACGCCCCACCGAAACGGGAACGCGTGCTGCCCGGTCCCCCTGCCCACGCAGCACATTTCCAATGCTGTCAGCCATGGGCCACCACCACCGCCACCTGGCCAGGCGTGCAAACCACAGAAGAGGTGTGATGTGGATGGTGAAGATGAGCGTCGACCTACCTGTGGACATACCAGTAATTTCTCCCCTTGGTCCACAAGCCCAGATCGGTGAAGCTCTGCACGCAGCAAGCCGCACCGACGCGTGGTCAGAAGGCCAGCTTGCAAAGGTGGTGTTTGGGTGGGGGTGGCGGGAAGGAGCATTGAAAAGGATCGAAGAACCGGAAACACGGCCCGGGGGAGGGTCCACCGAATGCCGAACGTCTCCAGGCCAATCTGGCCGCCGTGGTTGTGGCCTGTGCGCCGTGAAGAGTGAGGAATTGGGGGTGGTCTGGAGCTCCAGTGAAGCACGACACACAACGCACCAGCAAAGGCGATGACTCGCTCGTCGGGGTCCACGGCGGCGAACCCCTTGGGGTCGTGGACGAGCATCAGCCGAGTTGTCGAGACCGCGGCATCACCCTCGGTCGCCTCGGTGTTGCGCTCGTCATCGGCTCCGTCGTGCTGGTCTTCGCTGTGGGCGGCCACGGTGGCCGGGAACTTGGCGCATATCTTTTGCAGGTGGTCGGCCTTCCGCCTCTCCGCGAGGACGTAGTGCGTGCCGATGACCTGCACCGCACCAAAGTCTACGCCGGGCGGTGAGCACACTATGACGGGCTGATGGTGGTAACGGTTGAGAAGCGGCGAGCAGCATTGTACCCGCCTGGATCGTTTCGCTTTCATCGCACAGGAGCCGGATGCCGAGCGACTTGAATGTGGCTTGAATCAAGGGCAGCCCCTCGTAGTCGTGGTTCTGGCAAATGATGATGTACGTGTACATGTGTGTGTGTGTGTCGTGTGTATGTGTGTGTGTGTGTGTGTGTCGTGTGTGTGTGTCGTGTGTGTCGTGTGTGTGAGCCAGGGCAAAGTGTAGTCGTAAGGGCCATACGACAGTGCAGTGGTAGTCGCCGTCGTACCCCGAGACAGGCGAAGACGTGACCGTCGGCCGAAGCCAAGGGCTCCAGCGCCCATTTGAGCTGTCGGCCAGCATACGCCTCCCGCTGTACCTCGGCGGCGAAGTAGTCGCCCGTCAGAAACACGAAAGTGGGCTCTGCACGCGATGAGAGAAGAGCTCAAAAGCCGACACAGGACTGCGTAGTGGTGGTGGTGGTGGTGGTGGTGGTGGTGACGTACTGAGGGCCACCACCTCCTCGCATACGCTGCGTAGCTGTGCGGCCGTCATGAAGAGGCCGAGGTGCGGATCGCTGATCTGGCCCACGGTGAAGGTCTTTGCCGATCCGAGCGATGAGGGTGAACCCTGCTTTGTCTTCTCCAGCTTCTCGCTCTACACGTCATGACAACAAGCAGTCAGCTAGAAGCAACTGAGCAAAGGTTAACGTTATCGAGTACTGACAAGCGAGCCAGCGTACGTTGTAGGGGTAGTGGGGCACGGGCAGGCGACAGAGTGTGGGATGAACGCGCGCGTGGTCGATGTTGAGCTCGACCAGCTCGAGCGCTGGCAGCCCAGCCTACAGGAGAGAGAAGCTGAGACGTCAGAGGTGACTGGCAACGAGCCCGAGATGAGTAGAACGAGGAGGAGTCGCGTACCTGGTGGAAGATGATGGACCAGGTGAACAGCAGCGAGAAGAGGGCCACCAGAACCAGCTCGTCGGTGAGAGGCGATGGTAGGGCAGAGCAAAGAGACTCGACTGCCCACACGCCGGGGCCAGTGCTCGAAGCGAGAGCGATGACGAGCGAACAGAGACGTGCGAAGATGAAGCCAGGGACGAAGAGCATGATAGCCAGGAAGAAGCAGTAGCCGGGCAGTCCTGCAGTGTAGATGAAGCCAGGGCGCAGGTTCCAGGCGAAGCCGAAGGCCAGATGGTACAAGTAGACAAAGACGTGCAGGATCGAGATTATCGAGTAGAGCAAGAGATTCGCCCAATCAGTTGCGAATTGAGCCTTGTGATGCAGGATAAGAAGGAAGAAAAGAAAGCAAGCGGTGTAGATGGACAAAGTGAAGCTGACCCGTAGCCCCATTGCTCGAAATCGTCGCATGGCCACAGCGATTGGGACCAAAATTGCAGCAGATAGAGAGAAAAGAATTGTGTTGCTGTCGCTGACCATCCATCGCACCAATAAATCCAACAAATCGAGCATCATCTTCACCCTACACAGCTGCACTCGTCGCCTTTCACATCATAGGTGCAAAATGGGTTTTATGTGAGCTGGTGACGTGGCAGAACACACATTCTGGTGGAAGGAGCCCTCCAGCGCTTTCCCCATTGGTACCTAGACCTCCACCTATTTCACTCCCTGGGGCAGTGTTTCTTCTTAGCTGACCTCCACCTGCCTTCAACTGCTTCACCCTGTCATGAGGCTGAGGTCTCCATAGAGCTTTTCCACTGCTTGCAATACCTGCTTAGATAGGCAGACCAGTGCTCAAGCAGGCACTTAAAAAGTGTGGTCAACTTGGAGTACATGTGGATTGGGCTGATTTTTCTCCACACCCACCCCTGTTCCACATGACCACACCTCTGTAGTACCCTTTGCTGAAGAGAGGAGGAAGGAGGAAATGGTCGACGTTGAGCAACGCGCGCACCTCCTGCACATTGCACCACTTGGGTGTGGACAAACCTCGAAGCCACCGCCGATTGGCGGTCCTCCGAACTCTGCTATGAGGAGACACACGTCACTCTGTTTCCACACACCAGACGCTCCATGGCGCAGTCGCTTTCTCTCTCCAGCAAGGTGCGTATAACCAATTTTCAATAGGCACAACTCTTCCGGTCCTGTTTCTTTTTTCTTACAACAACATGTTGGTCCTCAGGCTGCTCAGGGGTTGAAAGGCCAGGTGGTTCTGGTTTTGGGAGGAGCGGGGCAGGTAGGATCAGCAGTTGCGCTGGACCTGCTTCGCAAGGACGCTGTCGTAGCCGTGCCCTCACGCTCGCGCAAATCGCTCGACCAGCTGGGCAACTACCTACGAGACCATGGTGCCGACGTCACCAATCTGGTGATGTTTCAAGACGACGTGGGTACCAAGGAGGGCGCTCTTCGCGTGCTCGAAGCTTTGCAGGCTCACGAAGCGACTGGCGGTCGGCTGGATCATGTAGTGGCATCGCTCGGATCGTGGTCCCAAGCCGGCCCCCTTCTCGAACGCTCGCTCAGCGAATTCAACGAACAGCTGCACAACAGCGCAGGAATCCACTTCGTCGCCCTCTCGGTGTTTCTACCACGCATCGCCGACCAGGAAGGCTCTTCCTACACAATCCTCACAGGTAAGATGAGATATATATTTAGATATTATGACTTCTCTCTCACGTCAACTAACTAACTCACACCGTGCCTCCACCTCGCACGAGTAAACTCTAGGTGATTCGGGTGATAGGCTCGTGGCTCCGGGCGCAGGTCTGGTCTCCGTGGGTGATGCGGCGCTGTGGGGCGTGAGCGCCGTGGTGCGCGCTGAGTTCCACGAGCGGCAGGCCAGGGTCAACGAGTTACGCATCGGCGCGATGATCAGGTCCAAGGTAACTGAGCCGGCGGAGGTGCTCGACAAGGATGTTGCAACCGTAATCACCGGCATTATGGCTGGGCACAACGCGGTGAAAGGGCAGGTCATTCGCTTGACGGCGGACAACGTCCGCGAACAGTTGGAGACCCATGCCATGCAAAGGTTTTCCCTATAAACTCCTCTCTGCCTCGTGTTTGTACGCGGGCCCATGCACTCAAACAAAAACAAAAAACGATTACGAGCGGAATGCAGTTCCAATTAATTTGTCGATCAGCGGCAAGAGCGATACCTCAACCTTCTTCAGAGGATCGTCTTTATTCGGGTCAAGTTGGACAGGCACACGGTCGGTCGCAGGCCAGCTGACATCCAAGTCCGTCGACTTCACCACAGAAAGTCAGCCAGACACACTCACACACTAGACGAAGAAACCAAAGCGTGAGATGATGTTGTACGTACATAGTCGTCGTGGAGTGGACGAAGGGGTGCATCGCTGGCCACGCGGACATGTGGCGCGGGCCATTGGACGACGCGAGAACACCGGTGGTCGACGACGAAACGCCCGCCGCAGCGGCCGCTGCGAGGCTTGGCCGAACCGTCGTCGTCGGCCCTCCAACCGACAACAGGCCCGCGAGGCGCCGGGAGCGGTACTCGCGGATGAAGGCGAGCGGCAGGCCCGGTGGCCGTCGCGGGTTGGTGGCAGTGGTCGAGGAGGTGGCGGTGGTGGTCGTGGCGGTGGCGAGGAGCGGCTTCTCGAGGTAGCACGCGATGCGCTCGATGTCGTGGGTGGCCAGCGGGGTGAACTTGGCCACGGGCGAGCGGCTGATCAGATACGGCTGCGGTACCGCACCGCGCGCGGGCCTCTTTGTCGGGGGCGCGCTCGAGCGCTCCAGCATCAGGGCGGGCTGGAACCGAAGCAGGGTGTGGGCTGACGGTGTTGATATGTGGGAGGAGGGAAGAAGAAAGACTTAGCCACGACCATTATCATCGGTGGAGGAGGAAGACGAGTGTTTCTGCACACCTGCAGGCACGGCGTCGACGGCTTGCTTGATACGCTCGATGCACCGCTCGGGTTCCTGCAGCCACCGCATATCGGCCTCGTCGCCGTGGTACTGTGGTTTGTTTGCGCAAACAATCAATAATTCCAAGAAATGGAGATATAGTGTAGATGTTGAGTCGAGCGTGTGTGGGCGTACCAGATCGGCAAGGGGCGAGTCGGGCGCAAGTAGGTGCTTGTACTCCGCCGGGACGAACTTGAGCGCGTCTTCGCTGTTGGGCGGCATCAGCGCCAGAAAGAACGGCAACGGCGCCAGCGGCTGGGCATCCTGTTGACCGTCGCAACACAACGTGTTCACTTATCATCAGCGCAGCCAGAGCGTGTGGAAGAAGGGAAGAAGAAGAAGCGCGCGATGGTGCACGTACAGATTTGAAGGTGAAGGAGAGCGGCACTTCCCGCACGTGCTTCCGGACATGGACGACAGACGGGGCGAAAGAGGGCGTGTATCGGTAGCCATAGTCGTGGCACGACCCTCCCAGGTACTCCATCACCCACACCACGCCCTTCACGACACAACGACACACGACACAATACAAGGTTGGTATGCGAGCGAGAGAGCCACACGCCTGATTCGAAGGCGATGTCCTTACCTTGAGGAATTCCGCTACAGAGGTGCGGACCACCTCCTCGGTCGGGGGCGGCGCGTTAAGTTCCTCCTCTGAGTAAAGCGAAGGGTGAGTGGGAGTACAGATGTGGTGGTGCTGGTGGTGCTGGTGGTGCTGGTGGTGCTGGTGGTGCTGGTGGTGCTGGTGGTGCTGGTGGTGCTGGTGGTGCTGGTGGTGCTGGTGGTGCTGGTGGTGCTGGTGTGATGGTAGTAGTAGTAGTATAGAGGAATAACGATGGTGATTGCCGATGTGCGTACCCGAGGGAAGGAAGCGTTTGAGCCATGAGAGGTAGGTCTTGGCGTTGAGATCGGGCACGCGTTCGGCCAACAGCTTGAACAGAGGCGAGTCGGCCGGGGGCTCTTCGCTTTCCTCTTTGATCCCTACGCAGCAGTTGCCCCCACCCCCCACACAAACCGCACCACAACCGATCAACTCCCGTCCGCTGCAGCGTCCCAGAGTGGTGTGCGCCTTGTGGCGACGTACCGAGCGCGGCCTGGGCCGCAAGGTTGCGAGCCGAGCGCAAGGTCGGGGCTTCAGCCTCGGCCAGCAGCACCTTGTCCACGAACACTCTCTATCGGCACCAAAGTGAGTGGAGCGTACAAGCAACCGTTGCATTACTCTTGTGCGGCCATGAGGTACCGAAGTGACGCCGTTGGCGGTGGTGACCTCCTCCCTCAGCACCTCGGCCCCATGGGCGAACTTCTGCAGCATGGTGGTGAGCGCGCTCCTTGCGTTCCTCGACTCCTTGAACTGCAAAATGCGCGGAGAAACCAGCCGTCACAGCTTCATCAGACTAAGAATAGCAATAACAATAACAATAAAAGTAACGTAGCGATAGCCACCACTGCACATGTGCAGCTGATCAGAGGCACGGACCTCTGGCACGGAAGTAGTCTGGTACTTGGGCTGCAGGAGATGCGCGAGGAACTCGGCGTTGATGGTGCGCGTCGATGAATCTAATAGAGAGCAAAATGATGAGCCCAAGGGAGAGAGTTCTCGGAGCGAGCAGCTCTCTGCGTACCGTAGAGAGGGACCTCGGGCGCAAAGAGATTCTTGGCGCGAGCGTCCAGATAGGCGTCCCACACGCGTTCAAGGTTGAAGCCGCGCAACTTCGGGAGGTAGTCATTCCCGCTCAACACGCTGATGAAGGCCAAGTCGGACAGCAGTTGGTTCTGGCACGTCACACCGGCCCGCAACCGTTGAGTCAGATAAACAAACACCTTGCTGCATGTGTGTGTGTTTGTGTGGTGTGGTGTGCGTGCGTGCGTGCGTGCGTGCGTGCGTGGTGCATGGTGACTGGTTACCTGCTCCATGTGTGGACAGGAGTTAGTGACTGCGTCCTTGAACTTGCTGGCGCTCAGAACAACAGCGCGACTGTCCCGTTCGATCTTGAGCACGTCCACTTGGCCATGGCCCGCACGCATCGCAAACACGATAAGGTCCGCGTCACTGGGCGCACGCACACACACCACCAGTTTCGAGGCCAGCAGTGAGTGTTACCTCAGCAGCGTGCCACGCGTCAGCTGCAGCGCTGCGCTACGTACTTGCCCACCACGAGGCAGCGATCGGACTTGGGCGTGGCGGCGATGTGCTCGAAGATCTTGAGTTCGCCCTCGCCCTGGCGATCGGAGCCGGAGATGTGGAACTGCAGCTGGGGCTTCTGCTTCGCGAGGCGCTGCACGCTCAGGTAGACCAGGGCGTCCTTCAGCTTCTGCATGAACTCGCTGCCGGGCGTGAACTGCAGCGTGTCGAACTCGCTCTCATCCTTCTTCGCCTCCTGCTCGTCAAGTTGTAAGAGCCAAGCAGACAGCAACACGACAAAGTACACACAGTACCCGTTGGGTGCGCCGCCTACGCTGCATGACGAACTTGGCGATGGGAGCTGCACGGTGCAGGAGATGGGTCAGCAATCTTGCCAAAGATGGAGCAAGAAAAAAAGAGTCCGATCGTGAGAAAGAAGCTCGCACCAGGGCCATCCATGGCGAGGTAGACGGTCCGACCCGGAGGGAAGGTGCGGAGGATGGAGTGGATGCAAGTGAACAGACGCACAAAGACCTTCTCCACCGACGGATTTTTGCCAGAGGCCGACGTGTAGAGGAAATTGTTGACATCGATGTAAATATGATCGTACTCGCCGCCCTCGGCAGGACTCGTTTTGCCCGCAGCTACGTCTGCGGAGGTGAGCAGTGTCAGCTCCCTGATGGCCTGTGGGTACTTGGCGCTCAAGAACGCGTAGTAGCCCTGAATGCCCATCTCCGCTACAAGTCGATAATGCTACAATTTATATCTTCATTTCTTTGTTTTTCCGTGCTTGCTTTTTCCGAGTTGATGAAGAAGGAGTGTGTTGTTGCTCCTCTTGCACGTGGTGTGGTCTGTTTGTTATTGTTTATTGTTGGCTTCTCTGGCACCCAAACTTGTAATAAATAGGGAGGAGCAAGAGAAGAAAAGAGGAGAGGGTGTGATTAGATCCAGAGCTTGACAGTGTGGTCAGCACCGGCGGAAAGAAGCCAGGGCTGCGTGGGGTGGAAGGCGCAATCCAACACGCCAAAGCCGTCCATCTCCCGATGACCCTTCAAGCGCTTGAGGGGCACGATGAGAGGGTTCTGCAGCAGGTCGGCGTACACAGTGGCGTGCAGCACGTAGAGGGACGCGTCATCGGAACACGTGGCCCACAGCGGATACCTACAGGCACGCAACAACCGTCAGCACAACACACGACAAGACGACACACACACACACACACGATACAACACGAAAACGTACTTGGGGTGGAACACGATGCGACGGACGGCGCCCTTGTGGTTCCTGATGGTCTTGTAGGGACGCGACGATAGATCGAGATCGAACCAGCACACGCGCATGTCGTACGAACCCACCACGACGTTGTCGCCGCCCGGATGCGCCTCCATCGAGCTCACCCACTTGCACGCCGGCTCCAACTGCACGCGTGCGTGTAGTGGTCAGTCACCATTGCCGCCGTTACCACCACCGCCACCACCACCCAGCACAAATCGAGCAGGAATCGCACCTTGGTGAGCAGCTTCTGCTTGAGGAGGTCGTAGACGCGAATAAAGCGCTGCGAGGCGACGAAGAAGATGGGCTTGGACGGGTGGAACACGGCGCACTGCACCTGGCCCTTGGACCGCCGGAAGGGGTACTGCGTGCGCTGCTGGGACAGCTGGTGGATCGACACGCCGTTCTTGTCGCCCTCGGGCGCCACCGTCGAGAAGTAGTCGCCCTTGTGGTGCCACGCGATCTGCTTCACGGTCTTCTGGAACGCCAGGCCCAGCTTGACGTCCTTGTCGATGCCGTTGACCCCGGCCGGCCTCGTCCACTGCGAGAATGGACCCGTCTTGCCTGCGGCGCGCGAAAGAAGAATGAGAAGAATTCCAAACAGTCGTCATCAAGGAATGCCAAGACTCCGCCTGCAGGCCACTGTTTGGAATTCTTTTTCAGGCGAGGGCGGCAGGTCTTACCTTCCTTGACTCTGACCTTGCCGCGCTTGAGGTTGAGCAGCTCCTGAACGTTTTGTGCGATCTCGCCACGCGCCACGCCCGAGTCGAGGATGAGAACGTGCTCCTCGACGGCCGCCAGGATGACCGGCGTGTTGGGGTTGGGGTTCCACGCCACCGTGGTCACCAGGGTGCCCGTGTTGTAAACGCGCAGGCACCGACCCGATGACACCTGCATCGCAACAGCACCCAATCCGTATCAGCACCGCACACACGCATCGCAGCACCGCACGTACACGCATCGCGGCACCGCACACGCACACGACATAGCTGCCACACAGTACCTCCCAGATGCGGACGGTGCAGTCTTCGCTGCCGGAGGCAAAGAACTGGCCGGTGGGGTCGAAGGACACGGAACGGACGCGCTTGGAGTGTCCCAGGTACTCCATGCCGATCACCGTCGGGAACGGGCGCAGCTCCTCACGCTGCGGCAGCTTGGGCAGGAAGTTCTCCGGATCCACCACACGCTTCTGCTCGATTCGCCACAAACGTAAGCAATACAGCAACACACACACACACACACAGTTCGTGGTTGGTGGTAGCGGTGGTGGAGGAACGAACCCTGGTGTCGGGCTTGCGAGGGACCAGGTAGAGATCGAGGCACCGCTCGAACCGCTCGTTGATGAGACGCGTGTAGGCCGGCACCTGTTGTGAACGCGTTAGCCTTCCGATTAACACACACACACACACAACGCGATCGCTGTATGGCACCTTGCGAAGGGCGTCAAACTTCTTGTTGGAGGCGAGAGGCGGGCGCTGGTCGGCGGGCTTCTTCATCCACTTCTTGATCTCCTTCGCCGACAGGAGGTACTCGTCGGGCGGGTTGTAGGACTCTCTGTGTCCCGGCAGCCGCTGCTTGGGGGCCTGTTGCGTAGACCGTCCACCAAGATTCCACAAATTAGAAACATCAACGCAGCACGACACACCACACACACACACACACACGACACACACACACACACACACACACGACACACACTCACACAACGCGCGACTCAGCGAAGCAAAAGAAGGAGGGAGGTGCATACGGTGAGGGGCATGGGGTTCTTCTTGTGCTCGCTGGCGTCGTTGGACCAGATGTCGTAGAACTGGGGCTTTTCCTTGGGCTGGTTCTTGGGGTTGATCCAGCCCTTCTTGATGGCCCGCACCAGGTAGGCCACCCGCTTGGCCTCCCACTTGGACGGAATGAACTGGCTCTTGGGCGCCGGCTTGTTCGTCACCGCGAAAATGCTGGGCTTGTCGTCCTTCTCAAACAGCTCCTGAACACACGCCGCACACGCACACGCACACACGGCACACGCCGCACACGCACGCACGTGAGTGAGTGATTGGAACACTCGCACGCGCGCGCAGGAGGGAAAGAAGAAGGGGGAGGGCGTACGGGGTAGGGATCGTAGCCGGCGCTGGGCGACTTGCCGGCCTTGATCTTGCGGATGATCTCGAGGTCCTGCTTGGTGAGCACGATCTCGCGATCGTTCTTCTCATCGTAGATTGTACGCCTGCCAGGTGCCGAGCGTGTAAGTCAAGCAGGCCAGTGGGAAAGAAAAGAATAAAACATGGTTGCATTGAATTCTTATAAAGACTTGCAAGTATATCGGGTGTAGATTTAATCAATCGCCGGAGGTCGAAATAAATCGGATAAATAAATGAAATTAAAGATAAATAAAGGAGGAGGCATAGGCACCAGTAGTTGGGGTCGTCGGTACGGTCGAGGAAGCGATCCATCTCATCCTTGACGGGACCCTGCTTCTTCATGATCTTCTTGCCCTCTACATCGTAGCCGATGTGAGGGTAGTCCGCATACCAGTGCATGGGCACGTTGCCCACCGTGTTGTGCGTCTCATCCTCGGACTCCTCCGCCTCAGGGGGATCATGTCGCCCCAACCACGACACCAGCTTCTGAAAATTTTCGGGATTGAGCTGATCATCGTCCTCATCTTCATCTTCATCTTCCTCGCCGCCATTCAGCTCGTCTTCCTCCTCCTCGCGTGCAGCCCTCTCCTCCTCTTCATCATCTTCAGATCCGTAGACCTCCTCGTCATCTTCATCATCAGCGCTGTCGTAGGGCTCCTCATCGGACGATCCAAATTCGGCATCACCAAAGCTAGAATTTCCATCCTCCTCCTTGAACCACTCGTCGGCAGTCACCTCCCGCCATTCCGGTCCGTTCTTCTGCACCTCCTCTTCCTCCTCTTCCTCAGAAGACACCGCCTTCGCTGGCACCTTCTTGGCGATCTGGCGGCTCCTCTTCATCTCTCTTCTTGTCCTACTCGCGATTGATCGATCGATTTGGATTTGCAATCCGCCGGCAAGCCACTCCGCACAGTGACGAAAAAGAAAAGAACAGAAAAGAAACAGATCACTTCATACCTCACATTCCTCCATTTCTCTGTACCCTCAGCGCACCTCAGCCGAAGGAATGCGAAACAGGCTGCATTTTATCGTTTTGTTTATTGTTTCGTGTGATCCAAAAATATTAATAAAATTGACAACCTGCTGGCGCGGGTGGAGGGCGTAGGGGAAGAAGAGCTGAAGAAGGAGAAGAAGAAACTGGGGAAAATTGTGTTGGCCGATGAAGGGGGCCTGAGTCTCTGGGTTTGGAAGACTTAGTCGCTGTCGCTGTCGCTGTCGCGGCCGTCCACCATGACGGTACCGGTTCGCGAGTACTTGGGGGCCTTGCCGTCCTCGGCGGGGACGACCTTGCCGACCTGCTTGTTCTTGAGCGCGCGGATGTGCGAGCCGGAGACGCCGTTCATGTCCTCCATCTCGACGTTGTTGTCGTCCTCGTCCTTGACGACGACGTACTCGTAGTCGGAGGGCAGATGCCAGTTGTCACGGTCGTTGAAGAGATCGGCGCGCTTGATGGGGTTGAGCTTGCCCACCAGCCACATCAGGAAACCGCAGAAGAAGCCGCTGCCCAAGCCAAGCACTGTATAACACCATGAAGAAGAAGACGAAGAAGAAGACGACGACGACGAAGAAGAAGGTGAGTATGATGAGTCGAGTCGAGTCGAGAGACTAACAAGTGTAGTTCGCCCAACGAGGAGTGGGAGTGTCACGTACGAATGGAGATGGCGGTGGCGGCGGCCTGGATGCCGGCCTGTCCGCGGCCGCGAGGGAAGAGCTCCTCGTACTCGTTGCTGTCGTAGGAGAGACCGAGGGTCGCCCACATGGCCACCATCGAACCCAGCACGCCGGGCATACCGTGAAGGTTGTGGATACCGCAGATGTCCTGAATGCCGAACCGACTGAGGAACGGGGTGAGGTATTTGTAGCCGAGCACGGAGATGACGCCGGTGACGAAGCCGATGCCGATGGGAGCCGAGGGGTGCATGTCGAGACCGGCGGCGACGCCCATGACGACGCCTCCGGCCAGCGTCGAGTTCTGGATGTGCACGCAGTCGAAGCGGTGGCCGGAGACCAGGCGAGAGACGACGAAGGTGGCGGCCGTCGAGGCGCACAAGCTGATGAAGGTGTTGAAGAACGCACGGTTCTGCCTGCAGCGTTGAAGAATAGAAGTCAATAAGAACGAAAAGCAAAGAGAGGAGCGAGCGAAAGAATGAATGAGTGAAAGAACGAAGACGAAGAGAGGAAGGGGGGCGAGAACGTACTCCTGGGCGTCGGCACCGAGGATGCCGTTGAACGAAGGCCACATCATCCAGAGGAAGAGGGTGCCGGCGTACGAGAAGACGTCGCTGCTGTAGCACGAGCAGTTGTCGGGATGGCCGTGGGTCTTCTTGCTGGTGAGCCACCAGCAGGCAGCGAGGCCGAAGTAGCAGCCGAACGTGTGGATGAACATGCCACCACCTGGTGGTCGCAAGGGAAGGAGGAAACAAAAGTTGTGAGCTATCTTTTTAGAAATATTTTCTAGATATATATATGTAGAACTTAACAAGAGTAACTTATAAAGGAGATGTACCGATGTCGACGGCTTCGAGCTTGATGTAGCCGATGAAGAAGTTGAGCCAGTAGAAGAAGGGCTCGACGATGATGAGCACCAACAGCTGAAGCGGGCTGATCTTGCCGATGAAGGCACCGAACGAGATGAGGCAGGCACCGGAGCAGAAGAGACCGTTGAGCATGTTCTCCACACCTGTGATGTTGAACGCGTTCGGCGTTTAGCATCAGCGCGTCTCCCTATGTTGTGTGTGCGTGTGTGTGTCGTGTGGGTCAACCGTACCCACATGTCGGCGGTGGCTGAACGTGGGGTTGTCGCCCAGCTCAAAGAAGAAGTGGTCGAGGACGATGGAGTACTGGCACACCACGGCCGCGAGGAAGAAACTGTAGCCTACAAGTGTTGCAGTGTGGCGGAGTGGGTGAGGGAGAGAGAGGGCACGCGCGGTGTGAGTAGTGGAGCAACCCGATAGTAAATTGGCTGAAGCGAATTAATTTGAGGCCAGCGGCGTGTGCGTTAGGTAACAAGTTTTGCCAAAAAGAGAGAGACAGACAACAACTAACGTAGTTCGTCGTGTCAGTGTGCCTCTAGGGCGTGTGCACTAGCCAGTGGCGTGTGCGTTAGGCCAAGGTGTTTGCCAAATAAAGAGAAAGACGCGACAGCTAACTCAGTTCCTTCTGTCATTAATGACGGAAAGGCCCGCAGAATAAATAAATAATAATAATAATCTTGCATGAATAATAATTCATGCAAGATTATTAATAAAACGAAATGAGGAAGATTATTATAATTGTGTGGTCCGGTAGGTGCGGGTCGGCACGTACCGATGGCGGTGAAGCCCGCTCGCCGCAGGAAGGCCATGAGGAAGCCGAAGCCGAAGAAAATCATGATGCAGATGTCGCGAAAGAAGGGATAGAAGACCACCTCCTTGGCCGCATCGACCGGGTCGGTCACGAATTCGAACCAGATGGCATAGATGATGAGGAAGAAGGCCTCGAGCCCTACCACGACCGACGCGAAGATGACGTTGTCTGAGATGACCCGCTTGCTCGCCGGTTCGTGTCCGTCCTCTCCCATGATGTCGTGCTACTTGCTGCCGCCGCTGCTTCTTGATTTATTGTGCTCCCGCCTCGTCGCCGCCCGCTACGTCGTACGCGTCGTGTAGTAGCTTCCTCTTCGCTCTTTGCAGCTCTTGGGTGGCCGTGTCAGCGACGCGATCCTAAGCGGCTGGTGTAGCAGCTCGCGAGGTGTTCCGAGTTCCAAGACAAAGATCTGCTTCAGGCCGGTGGTGCCAGTTTTGCGGACTTTTCGTGCCGGCTTTAATCCCGCTTTATCGAAGCGAGGTTGGGGGGCTTTGCCTGCTGTCTGCGAAAACTGAGGGAAATGATCTAAATTGTCGACAACACACGATTTATTTGGGACGCCCGCGAGACAGGCGTAAAACAGGTCGGAACATTCGTGACGATATTGGCACGAAACGTGCACGATGTTCCACGGGCGAATCGATCACGAGTGATTTGAACGGGCGCTTTGCCGGGCGGCACTTCCTGGGAGCGCTTACTCGATTCGCGGCAGTGGCTGACTCGATTCGGACGAAGAGGCGCACGGACGCGATCACCGCCAGAAGTTGGAGGCAAGGATGAAACAATCATCTTCTTCGAAGTGCCCACCAGTGCGCACCGGCCACGGGCACGAAGCAGGCGCATGACGCTGTTGGTAGCACAAATACAGAAAGAAAGAATAAGGTCAGATCAGGCAGGATCAGCCAACACACGCATTAAGGCAAAGCAGCACGCACCGGCGAACACGAGAAGCATGGCTCGAAAGCTCAGCCAATCGACCAGCGCACCGCCAATGAGGGGGCCTGCATGATCGCAAGATCACGGCGCGCAGTTAGAAAAGAAAAGTTCGCTCGCGTAGTGCGGAGAGAGTTCGGGCGGTGAAAGGAGCACGCACCGCCGAGCATGCCCAAGGCATAAAACCAGTTGAAGATGGCGTACACTTGGCCGTAGGCGCCACCGCCCATCTCGTCCACAGTGGCTGTTCAACGAAGGAGAAGAAGGAGAAGATAAGTAGGCGCGTTGATGCTTCTCAATCTACAGAGGAGGAGTTCGAGTTCGTGCCTGCCATCTCGGAGAGGGTGGGCGTGAGTGTGCACGCGGACGTAACTCCGACGGCCACCAGGGCGAGGAGCGTCAGCCACAGGCTGTTGGGCGGTGATACCAGCGTCTGCGCAGTGTTAATCTCAGCTATTTCTACTTAAAAATAAATAATTAAATAAGTAAATAAAATCAAAAGCCATGAACGGTGCAGCAGTACCAACGCGATGGATAGGCTGGAGAGCCCGATGAGCATCAGGACAGGTCCGCCTATTTTGTCGGACAGCCAACCGAACACGGGAGCTGAGAGCCCATGGGCCAGTGCCATCACCATGAACGCTAGTCCGATCACGGCGGCCGACGAGTTGAACTTTTCTGCAAACGGGCGCGGGGTTAGCGAGGCACGCACGCACTCATCCAGGGGGCGAAGGTGACGACGCATCGATGGTACCATCCAACACGGCGGGCAGGGTGGGTTCGAGGACGGTGATCGCGTTGGCGCCCAGCGCGACGATGACGTTGGTCACCAGCACGTTGCGGTTGAACATGATGGCGAAAAAGGTGGGCGGCCGCCTGGCCGGTGCTGGCAGGTGCTCTCGTAGCTTCTCCAGGTCCTCGTCGGTGTAGACTCGGTCATCTCCCGACGCTGCGCGTGCGGTGGTGTGTGTGTGTGTGTTAGGTGGCGCCTACCCGGTGCAGCGCTAGAGAGCGGGGAGCGTACAGTAGCCGAGGACTTTGTACGGTTGATGCAGCAGATAAGTGTCGGGCGTTGGTTCGTCGCCCTCTTCCTCGCCCAGCACTGGCATCGAGTGCGCGGGGACCGTGCGTTCGGTGATCAGCAGCACACGGACGACAGCGTCAAGGATCGCAATGCCTGGCATGCCAAAGAAGAGAGCGAGATTGTCAGCCGAATGCGCGACGGCCAGACGAAGCTCGCTCAGAGATAGAGATACCCGAGGCGATAATGAATGGCAACTGATAACCGCCCAACTGATAGACGAAGCCCCCAAACGGAGGACCGAGCAACATGCCCAGGGACATGGCGGTCATTACCAGGCCCATGGCGCTGCCGAGCTCGTGCGACGGATAGGTGTCCGCCAGCAGCGCCAGCCCGGCCACCCACGTCGCCGCCGCGCTGGCGCCCTGCAGGAACCGCGCCATCACCATTGCCGGATAGTACCTGTCGCCGATACGATTTGGTGAGGGAACAAAAGTGAGAGTTAGCCGTTGACGTTGGTGGTGATGACGAGAGTACAAGTGCTGTACTTGATGAAGGCAAGCATGAGCGTGGCTCCGCTGAGCCCCACGAAACCGGCCAACATCGGCCATTTCCGTCCAAACCTGTGGTGGTGAGCCAACGAGTTCGTTAGAAGGGGATTGCACCCCGACTGCACACGTGTGTCCGTAACGCACTTGTCCGAGAGGATGCCGAGGATGGGCGTGAACAGCAACAGACCTCCCGCGTAGCCAGCAAACAGAATGCCCAGCTGTGCGCGCGTGTGTGTGCAAAATGCGAGAGATGAGAACAAGAGGTCACGAAGCAATTGAAAGGCACCTCTGGAGTGGTAGTTGGTGGGGGGGGGGGCAAAAGCGAAGGTTGGTATACCTGGAGCGTGGACACGCCCAGCACCTCGGGCACGAAGATGGGCACCACCATGCCGTAGACCAGGGCATCGGTGAATACTGCCACGCTCACCACGATGAGGGTAGAGATAGGCGAGGCCCGGAGTGCCGTGAGCCACGTCATGGCTGTTGGTGTATGTTGATGCAAAGGAAGTCGGACTTTCTATTTTTCTCCGCTACACGAATCTTTGAAAGTTCACCGTGTGGCTGGATGTGATGCAAGACGATGACGATGAAGGCGCAACGAACGGTGGTGCAGGTGCTTCCTCTCTCGTGTGCGTGTTCTTCACGCGGGCAGACCGCTTCTACTCGTCTCGTGAGCAGGGCTCGGAAATTTCTGGGGCGCGGATGACGTCAGCATGACGTGGGCGCTAATGCGGAGAAAGAAGCAAGATCGGAAACAATTTGGTTTGTGCAGATTGGAAGCATCAAGCCAGAGGTCCTTGTTTGATTTTCGTCCACCATGTCGCGCCCCGAATACACGGCCCCGCCCGAAGTTGTACGAACCCGATGTCCCATTTTCACAATCATTTGCCCATAAAATGCGTCCGATTTGAATTGAATCGTACGATTGGCACGATTTTAATATGTGATTCACTCTGCAGTTTTACGATGAGAAGGAGGCCCAGAAGTATACCTCCAAGTACGGCACTACGTAACCCACAACAATATTTATCTTTATTAACATTTTTGTTGTTATTTGTTGTTTATTTGTTCTTGCCCAGCTCGCGTATCATTGAGATCCAGAGTCGCATGTCCGAGCGAGCCCTCGAGCTGCTGGCGCTGCCGGACGGCGAGCCCAAGTACATTCTCGACATTGGCTGCGGCTCGGGCCTGAGCGGCGACGTCATTGAAGAGCACGGACACATGTGGGTCGGCGTGGACATCAGCCCTTCCATGCTCGGTTCGTGCTACCTAACCACTGCAATTTAGAACATTTCTAATCTTGTTGGCCACACGACACACAACGACGACAGACGTGGCCGCCGAGCGAGGAGTTGATGACGGCGACGTCTGTCAGAGCGACATGGGCCACGGCCTGCCCTTCCGTGCCGGCTCCTTCGATGGGGCCATCAGGTTCGTTTTCTTGCTCCAGTCTGCGCATGTGTGTAGGCCTCTGCTGTGCCAATCGTCGTTTCTTACAAGCGCGAGTGTCGTGCCGTGTTGTGTCGTGTGGCATGTGCGATCACGTGTGCAGCATTTCGGCCCTGCAGTGGCTGTGCAACCAAGACAAGACGAACCACATTCCACAGAGGCGCATGAAGAAGTTCTTCTCCTCACTCTACAATTGCCTGAGCCGAGGTACGCTCACTCGCCACCTCCTCTTCTGCTTCATCAAACCCTTTTTGCATGTATCTCACCCACGTCTTCTTCGCTCTTCTTCGCTCTTCTTGAAAAGGTTCGAGGGCAGTGTTCCAGTTCTACCCGGACGGGCCTGACCAGGTCCAGCTGCTCACGGCTGCGGCCATGCGCTCCGGCTTTACGGGAGGCCTCGTGGTCGACTTCCCCAACAGTACCAAGGCCAAGAAGTACTTCCTGGTGCTGTTCGCCGGCTCGCCCGTCGGCCAGACGCAGCTGCCCAAGGGACTGGACGACGAGCCGCGCAACACGGTGGCCTACGACACGCGAAACGAGGCGCGGGAGCGGGCGCGGGCGAGGCGGAACGGCGGCAGCCACAGCAAGCCCGCATTCAAGAGCAAGGACTGGATCTTGAAGAAGAAGGAGCGACAACGGAAGCAGGGCAAGGACGTGCGGGACGACAGCAAGTACACCGGCCGCAAACGTCGCGGTGCCTTCTAAGACAACACGAACAAGAGCTGGTGGCTTGTGTGAAATTTCGTATGGGTGATGGCAAAGGTTGGGCATTGCCTGGGCTTGGAGGTTGGTGCGGCATGGTTGAATTGAGGTTCACTCGATGGTGACACCAAACAGAACTGAAGGCGTACAGGGCTTGACAGTTTTCGTAGGTGCTAAGTAGAGAATTTCTATGTGGTGGAAGGCCACACACCAAGTGAAACAGATCACAGCAACGATTCACGCTGTGAGCGTCACCAGTCGATTGGTGTGTGGTCTCTAACCAATGACATGGCGAGCGAGGGCCTATAAAAAGGCTTCCCCTCCTCATCTCCAAACAACAACTTGACAACAAGCCAGCTAACAACCAACCTTGCAATGAAGCTTAACGCCATCCTCTTCGCCTTGGTCTGTTTGGGCTTGCTTGCCCTTGCTCTCGCCCATGACGGTGCGTTCCTCGGCTGGTTACAATGCAACACCTTTTAACATCTGCACGTTGATTGGGCAGGCGAAGATCACTCGGGAAGCAAGAATGACGACAAGAACGACCGCGATTGGGACTGGGGCCACTGCGATGACAAGGAGGACGACCATGAGGGCAAGGACGAGTGCTACTGGAAGTGCGTCAAGGTGTGCCACAAGAAGCCGCACCACACCACCTCCACCAAGAAGCACACCACCACGACCCCCAAGGAGACTACTACTACCCCCAAGGAGACCACGACCACCATGAAGCACACCACGTCGACCACCACCGACGAATGCCCCCACGAGACCACTTCTACCAGGAAGCACACCACTTCAACCACCGCGGAGTGCCCCCACGAGACCACTTCTACCAGGAAGCACACCACCTCCACCACCGCGGAGTGCCCCAGGGAGACCACTTCGACCTCGACCAAGAAGCACACCACCTCCACCACCGCGGAGTGCCCCAGGGAGACCACTTCGACCTCGACCAAGAAGTACACCACCTCCACCACCGCGGAGTGCCCCAGGGAGACCACTTCGACCTCGACCAAGAGGCACACCACCTCGACCTCGACCAAGAAGCCCTGCGACGAGTGATCACGAGGCAGGTGATCACCAGCAACATCGGACAACTTCCTTCAATGATTGAGTGTTCTATCCCAACATGTTGCACACGGCATAATAAATACTAACTGAGGGATGGAGAAGCTAGCGTGTGTTGGG